TGCCTTGTTACGCAGTATTTGGTTCCAGGAACCAGGTCAATCTCATGACACACGCCTCGATCCGGAGGCAGGCCCGTTGGTGTGTCTTTCGAGACAACGCCTCCATACTCCTTCACCACCGGTAGAAGGGATCCGAAGGATCTTTGAGGATCGCCGATCCACTTCTTGCGCTCAGCGCCTTCTTGGTTTCCTCTAGGACCGCGTCGTCCACGACGGATGAGGAGTTCAACTCCTCCTCAGGTCCCAGCAGGACCACCTCGGCTAGCTCGCCTGCCTTTAAGGCTTCGCCAAACTCGGCAATGGACATCTCGTCCAGCTCTAGCAGAGCATCTGCAGCGGGCAGAGTGTCAAGGCTGATATCGCCTTCTACCTCCCCCGTCACTCCGTTCACGAGTGTGTACAGCTGTTCACAGCAATCACGTGGAGCCTCACCGCTCATCACGTGGGACACATCGTCCGACGTCGAAGACGTCACAGACGCCCTGCGTCTTCTTCTCCTCTCCCTCCGCGACCGAGCCCGGCCGGATGAGGGCGGTGTGGTGACATCTCCGTCACCACCACCGGGTGCAGCAGCACCATCACTCCTCGAAGAGGATACAGTGTCTCGCAAGACACTCGGCTGAAAGCCGAGAGGCCCTCGACCTTCACACAGTGAACTAGGTGTCACTTCACCTGCATCTTCTGGGCCACGCCCATGATGCCTCGACTCGCAGTCGACCGCGACCCTCGGGTCACGCAGCGGTAGGTCATCGACCAGATTCGTACCACTCAGTGGATTACGCGCCACTCCGCGCTCGTCCTCACCAGGACCCAGCAGTTGGTCATCGACCTGACCTTCACCGCTCAGCGGATAACGTGCCGCACCACGTACGCCCTCAGGGCAAACAGCAACCTCGTTGCTAACAATTTCGGACATACCAATGTCCAGCACTACGGCCGCCTCGGCCTCGTGCTCGCGCCAAAAGCGCTTCTGTTTCCTAGCAGAGGTGGGTTCATGACTCACCAAAGCTCCACTAAGAGTAGGGTGCGACGCACCCAGCGTTTTCGACTTCCAGTCGATCCATGGCTCATGGCGTTCCAGCCATGCCATGCTAAGGATGAGGTCATACCTCGCATCCAGGTCTAAGACCAAACAGCGTTCCACGCTATCGAAGCTCTCAAACTTCACTCCAAGGTCGACAGAGACCTTCGACACAGTTACCAGTGTCCCCGTCGCGAGACGGACAGAGATCGTATCTCTCGTTGGCACTTCCAGTGCCTCAGCATACAGCTGACTCCCTCCTAGGGTGGAGCGACGGGCGTAGTTGCTAGAGGCTCCCGAGTCAATCAAGACTCTCCGTGGCTTTGCAAAGCCCTTCACGTTCGCTTGAACGACCAGCAAGCCCGGCTTGCACACACTCTTCTCGTAAGAGAGCTCAGCTCTCTTCGGGGCTGAGCCCCGTTGCCCTGTACCTCTTCAGAGGCACAACAGAACTCAGTTCTTCCCCAGTAGGCCGCCCCGCGCCTACTGGGAGTTGCCGTTTCCCGGCGATGAGTCGGAGGGTTGGCTCGCCGGAGCCTCGCGCTTCTTGCGCAGAGGGCAATAGGCCCTCAAGTGCTTAGTGCTATTGCACACAAAGCATCGGCGGATGCCGGCGCGCTGCTCCGCAGCAAGAAGCTCCGCTTCTTCATCTTCAGCATAGCTGAGGTCCATCGGCTCTGGACCGCTCGAAGAGCTTGCGCTACCAGCGCTCCAACCAGGTCGCGCCGACCTGAAGTTGTGCTCGGCATTCAATGCCACATCCACCGCCTCTTCAAAAGAGTTAGGGTGTACACGGAACACTTCCGTTCGAGCTGCGCTCACTCGAAGTCCCTCCATGAACACGGTCACGCTGACCAGTTCCGGAAGAGGGTCCGCCGCCATTCCGGCGATAAGAGTTCTCAACTCTTGGACATAGTCCAATAAATCCTTCTTACCCTGGCGGGTAGCAAGGAACTTTGACCGGATACGGTACGCCTGATTAGGCGGCGCGAACACGCGCGAAAGCTGTTGCTTCAGCTGATCCCAAGTGGGAAATGCAGCGTCAACAGACGTGCCGCACGTTAGTGCCCATTCGCGAGCGCGACCTCCAAGCCTGGAGATAGCCAGCGCCACGCGCTGATGCTCAGACTGGAGCAGGGCCGATCCCATGGCCATCTCGACCTCACGGGTCCAGAGAAGGAGATTCTCTCCATCCTTCCCCTCGAAGGTTTTTACGCTCACCATGAGCGGTTTCAGTCTCATAGACTCTTCACGCGTCATCGACGCCGCCGCCGTTGCGGCGCTCATCTTCTCTTGAACATGCTCCAAGAGCGCGTTCTCGTAGCGGGAGAACGATTCCAGCCTGGCAGTGACCGCCTCTGGACCTTGCGATGCAAGATGAGCCACGCCCTCCGGGCCAAGCAAGGACATAAGCTTAGTAAGCGCGTCCTGCTGCGCCGGGGGCAAATTCGCGAACACGGGGTGTTCCATCCTCGCAGAGGATACAGTCAACCGACTCAGGAGCGGGATTGACTACAAGTGCTACCAAGTGCAGCGGGGCTGCCGTAGCTTTAGCGTCAGAGGAAGACGTTCGACTCAAAGAGTCACTAATACTAAGTTCCTTATCCAAAGGACTCTTACAGCCCAAGACCAGGGCTCAAAGTTAACACCTTAACTTTTATGCTTCAAAACCAGAAGTGTTTTATTTACTATTATTGCGGCCAAGCCGCCTAGGGGTAAATGTATCTCTTTAACTATCTAGCATAGTTAAACCTAATCAAATGCATAACGTGTGGCTTTCGGCCAACGTACTGAGAGACCTTGTTAACTCTCCAACTTATTTACTGAGAGTTTGTTAACTCTCCGGGTACTTCGTACCCCTGTGTGTTCCACACTATGTAACCCCGTTACACTCGGAGTCCGTGCTGCTAAGTGAGCTTTTTTCGCCGGCCTTCCTGACTCGCCGCGCCTTCTGCGCTTTCTTACTTAGAGTAGTGACTGTCGCAGCAGTAACCATTTTCGTAACCCGTAACCTTCGTAACCCGGTGTAACCACTAGCCCGTTTGCTTTCCTGCCTTTCTGGACTCTCTTCGTTGCTCTGAGATAGCCCCTGTATGACCACCATGTAACGAGTTGCTATTCCTCCTGCCCGACTCGCTGGGCAAATCGTATAGTTTATGTGCCTGGTGCGCTGTTTGTCCCTAGTCCGTAGTTGTTTACTTGATAGTACTCGAAGACGTCACTGGCCAACAGATGCTCCACTGAGCCCTGTGCCGGAACCTTTGGCTCCTACTTTTTGTATTCCTTCTCCTTAGCTAACCTTACGTAAGCTAATAGAGGCTCGTTCTTCGTTTTCGTTCTTCCCTCTTCGTCCCTGAACAGATAGTCTCCAGTCAGATCACCCACGTCCTCGCCGAAGCACCGTGACGTCCCGATGCGATCCAGATCACGCTCAATCTCAAAGCCACTTGGGAGTACGCCCACGGCGCCTACCCTACTCGTGCGCGGCCACCACAGCGAACTCGGGTACTCTACTTCCCCTGTCTGGTCTCACCGTACGTCGCTCCGCTTGTCCGTACGTTCTCCTCCTTGGATCCTACTTGTCCTCCGTTTCACGGTACTGCAGTGCGTCCACCACAACCCCGTACGTTCTGTCAGCCACACTCTGTGCCTCAACAGCCCTTTCGTCTTGTCGCTGACTGTACTTCCAGCCCTCGACCGTCTTTCGTCTCTCGTCACCAATCTTTTTGTCTCGTCCTTGGCAAATTCCCGAGTACCCACCTCCTTGCTCTTCCTGCCGTCTAACGCCACCGGTCGCGACGGCTCGCCGTCTGCGATCTCCGTCCTAACCGTGTGTCCGTTGAATCCGTTGGACTCCTTCCGCCCTTTGGTCGCACCCTTTCCACGTTGAAGCTGGCTACGTGCCAACGTACACTCTTCCGGAAGATCTTCGGTAGACCACGTCATCAACTTGTTACAATACTGTAGCAATAGAGAGGAAAGCGGCAGCGAGAAGAATGCTCCACCATGTTCGAAACAGGATATGGAGTAAATTGAACGTGTATTGTAGAACTCTGCTTCATCTCCTAGCGAATACCTCGATGCTGCATTCGTTATCATGGTGCGGTATCTTTACGGACGTAGCTCGGATATAAAGCAATTAGAAAAACAGCAGCTGTCCGTATTGCCAGGTATGTAAGAATCCAATTAAATTTTTAAAGACGTTAAAGATTTAAACTCAGCTGTATAATGTTTGAGTAGGTGGTGTTATATTTCTTTGCTTCAAGATAGTTAAAGCGGCTTTTCTTCAGGGTATTTCCTTGTAAGGATCCCTCAAACTTTTTGTTGTGCCCTTTGTACGCCGTGGCTGCCGCCTAGGTAATGCAAGCCACCCCGTCATTGATAATGTTCCTTAAATTTCTATCTAGAGCACGCACCTTTAAAACCGCGCAGGACGTCGAGGAACTTCCCCTTGTTGAGCTGCTTGAAGCAGACGATGGCCAGCATACTCTACAGGGGGTTAACCAGCCTCCAAGGCAAATCCTTTCGGGCGCACAATCGTACGTCAACCGACTGCTCGTTAGAGTTCAAGACATGGCTAAATTGCATAGTGTTAAGCTTACGACCGGTCTGACGTCTAACCCCTTTCGCCGCGGAGGGGCAGTGCACTCAAATAACGGAAGCGCTGCTGAAAACTGGATAATCGAGAGGGGCGGCTGGCAATTGGATCGAGTGAACAAGGCGTTCGGCTACATGCTGTGATCCACACAGGGCGATCAGCATGAATCACGTGTACTCAGAGGCTAGAGTCCAAAAGATGGCGCATGACTCCCTTCATTAGCGTCCTTGGATCCTAGGGCCCGCACAGATTCTTCATAGCTTTCTTTTTATAAACTCATTGGGTTTAGACGATAGTCGACTTAACATTGACGAAACTGTCGCTGACGTCTTTTTACAAACACGTTGGGTTTTGACGATGGTCGACTTAGCATTGACGAAGCTGTCGCTGAAGTCTTCATGGCTACACTCCTGCTGCACTATCCTATTATGCTACGCTTGTGCGAAGCTGGACCGCTTGGCGTGAAGATGCGGGAAGCGATGGCTGCATACGCTATCGGGGAATCCGAGGTGCTGGCGTGGAGCTCGTGTATCCGCCGATCGCTCATGCCGCCTCCAGAGCTGAGGCCATCGTCGCCAAGACCAGCCGGAGAGAGCACAGATCAGATTACAGCAGTACATGTGCAACAGCAAACAGAGAAGATATGATTGCTTATTCTACAAAACAAATGTCTAGAGAAGCCACTGTTAGCAGAAGAGCATCATATGAAAGTACCTGGGACCACTTTACCAAACGTAGGTGCGTTGTCTTTAACCGCAAACAGGCAGTTGACATGTCAGTCAGCGGCAAAAGTAGCTCGGCCAATGAAGATGAGATCACAATCGCTGACCGCAAGATGGTTCGAGTGGCTCACAGCCAAGCCTCGGGTGTATGCTTCGTCCGCTGCGGAAAAGACAACGCTCAACGAACTCAGACATATCATAGGCTATATGATGCTGTTCAGATCGGCAGGCTTCGCGCTGGATGCATCCTCTCCAGCTTTCAAAAACGAAGTACGGGACCTTGGCGATAACGCAGGCACCAACGCTCTCAGGTTCTGTAAGGCAAACGGGTCTTCAGCGGTTGCAGCAGGTTCGGCATTGAAGGCGTTTCGAAAGATCCATAAGCAGGGTGTCAGCAGAGCGACCTGTGACGCGCGCATCTGTGACGCGTGCCAAAGTGGAACGACTTCAACCACTGCATGGTTGGCTAGCAAGAGCTAGTGAACGCTCTCCAGTCAAGTCACAAGCTTTAAGGAGCTTGCGCAGCAGATAGCAGAGGCCGTGCTTAAGCTACTCCAATACATCAGTTCCCATTTTACCTTTAACAACAACAATCACCACTAGCAACTGGTGACATTTTGCTATAGCAAAAACACAACAAAGTTTTGCTACCGACAAGTCAACAGCGCCCACCCATGAGCCACACCAAGATGGAGGAGACAGTGATCTTCGAGAAGGTGAAGAGCAACGGGTCGACGATTAAGAAGCGCGTGCCGGTCTTCCGAGATGGAACCTGGAAGGACTGGCTGGAGTGGCTGTTACGGCTGTCGGAATATTACGTCTTCATGGGGTAATAGAACACAGAGGAGGACCAGTTCGCGTTCGTCGAGGACTTGTAGGTCCTTCTCTTCGATGACGACCTTCTGATGTTCAACGATGTGGTTGCCGAGAAGCAACTCGACCACGTCGATGTAGCCATCTACTCCTTACGACGATTGACAATGGTTCACTGTCCTCCCGGAACTCGGACTTTGATCATTGACGAGATGACGGACCTGCGCAAGACGGCGTCCATGTCCGTTAGAGAATACAGCCGAGCCTTCAGAAAGCTGAATCGCTACCTTACCTTCATCGACGAGAATGAAGCCATCCCTGAGGCCGACTGTGTCCGCATGTACAAAAGCGGAATGCCAATCGAGTGGCAGATTGAAGTGTCACGACTATCACGCTCCTGGGACTTCGCTGGACTGGAGCAGCAGTTCGAGCTCATTGAGCGGGTAGAAAATGAAGCGGAAGCCCTCCGCAACAGACGCCGGCCCCCACGCGACAACAAGAACAGTAACGCAGCTCAATCTCGTGAGAATGGCGGAGGCCACCAACAGCAGCAACGAAGGAATGCACGTCCGGGACGAGGCGGACAGAAAAGTGGCCAGGAAAAAGCACAGCAAGGACAGCAAGGAGGCAAGTATTGCTCCTTCTGCAAGCGCAATAACCACACCCAGGAGCAGTGTTTCCGGGATCCGTCGTCTCCAGCGTATCGACCACGGGGTGGCCAGCAGCAACAACCTCGCCACGGGCGTGATCAATTTGCTGCCATGCAGGAAAAGATCAACCAGATGGCTGCCAGGATGGAGACCATGCAGAAACAGCATGAGGAGGAGCTGAACGCTCTTCTGTTTTACCAAGGCGATGAATTCAACGCAATGACTTACGACAAAGAGGAAGACGGAGTGGAAGCAGGCAGGACGAGCTCAACGATGGCGCCTCTGCTGGCCAAAACAAGAGCAGAAAAACCCAATCGCAGCGATGAACCAGTGATGGTGACGGAAGTCCGCATTGGTGAAGTTACGTTCTCTGCTTTGATCGACACGGGTTGCTCGCGGTCTGCGATTGACCAGAGCGTGGTGGATCGAGTTCGTGAACAGCTTGTGTTGCAACAGGAAGAGGCAACCTTCAAGCAAGCTGACGGCTCGACTGGCAAGACAACTCACGTGGCAAAGGCAGCCATAAACATGCCCATTTTCTCGACGTCAAGAGTTTGCACTCATGAATTTCGAGTCGCCTCACAGCTCCTGTACCCGGTCATGCTGGGGAAGAACTTCTTCGCGACTCAAGGAATTGACCTGTTGTTCTCGACAAAGGAGCTCGAGTGGGATGGTCTTTGTGTGCCTATGCCGAAGTTGCGAGCGCGCGGATGGAAGCCCGGCTTAAGACTGCATGTGAGCGATGAATCTAGCCGGGTTGAGATCTCTGTGGCGGAAAACAGCGGACCGGTGGATTTTAACTTGATGATTGACGGTACTAACCTCTCAGAGAACGAGCTTCTACTCATGCTGGCGCTGATGAAGGAGTTTGACGATGTTGCGTCAGGGAGGCTTGGAGAAATCAAAGGTGATCCGTACGAGCTACCACTTTATCCAGATGCAAAGCCCTTTGCGTGCCGACCCTTTCCAGTACCACAGATTCGGTTGGCAGCAACTAAGCAAGCGGTGCAGCGGCTTGTGCGCCTTGGAGTAATGACAGCCGACAACAGCTCCCCATGGGCATCGCCAGCGTTTACGATTTTGAAGAAAGACGGCACCATCCGACTACTTTGCGACTTTCGACGGCTGAATGCGCTGCTGCAGCGCAGGTTTTTCCCACTGCCGGTCATTCCAGAGCTGCTTCGCCAGTTCCAGCAGTGCAAGTTTATATCGGTTTTTGATATACCGATGGGATACTATGCTCGCGTTCTCTCGAAGCGCAGTCGAGCTGCCACCGCTATCGTGTTTCCGTTCGGCAAGTTTGTGTTCAACCGGCTGCCGATGGGCGTCGCTACTGCCCCTGATGAATTCCAAGCGGTTATGAACGGGACGCTCGGAGACCTGGAGTTCGTGTGGGTGTATCTGGACGATTTCATTGTGATGTCGACGTCATTTGAGGAGCACCTAAGGCATCTTCGCATCGTCTTTCAGCGTCTTCGTGATAACGGACTCACTATTCACCCTCGTAAGTCTAAGTTGTGCACGGATAGCGTGTCGTACCTGGGCTACCACATTAGCACAAGCGGGATGAAGCCACTTCATGACAAGGTGTCGGCCATACAGGCGATAGAAGCCCCGCGCACACGGCGTCAGCTACGTCGATTCATCGGTATGGTGAATTACTATCGGGACATGTGGCCAAGACGTGCTCACATCCTGGCTCCGCTCACGGCGTTGATGTCGCCGCAGCACAACTTTCGTTGGGATCAGACTCACCAACAAGCATTCGAGCAGATGAAGTCCGTGATGGCGCACACTGTGGAGCTTTCATTTCCGGCGCACGGCGAACCATTCCACATCCACACGGATGCGTCCGGGTACCAGCTCGGTGCCGTTATCGCCCAGCATGGTCGTCCGCTCGCCTTCTGGAGTAAGAAGTGCACCGATACGCAGCGCAAATACCCCGCCAACCGTCTCGAGCTGCTGAGTATTCTCATGGTACTACGTGAGTACCGCACCATGCTACTCGGCCAGGAGCTGCACGTCCATACCGATCACCTGAACCTCACATACGGGACGTTCAACAACATCCAGATGATGCGCTGGCGGCTCGAGATTGAAGAGTTCGGACCCCGGCTGCACTATATCAAGGGAGAGAACAATGTCGTGGCGGACGCGTTATCGCGCCTACCGGGTGCCGAACTGGGGAAGGACACGGAAGATGCAGCTACACTTGCAGCTACGAGTGAAGACTCGGGAGTGTTCTCGTTAAACCTCCAACAACTCGCACGAGCACAAGAGAGTGCTGCGATTTCTAGCGGAAACGTGAAAGAGATTAATGGCGTCAAGCTCAAGGTGGACGCGAGGAACAATTGCATCATAGTACCGGATCACCTACAAGAGCCCATTATCAGAGCCTATCACGAGTGGCTTCTGCATCCAGGCGGTGCAGCAATGTACGAAACAATCAAGACATCGCTGTATTGGAAGGGTATGGAGTCTAAGATTCTGCAGTTCGTTCGGAACTGCCTGCCCTGCACTAAGAGCAAGCACCCAACCATGAAGTACGGCAAATTGCCGGCAAAGACGGTAACAGTGAGACCGTGGTTTGAGGTTGCAATCGACTCTATAGGTCCCTACGGAAAGAGAAAGTTTCGAGCGATGACCATGATCGATACAAGCACGCGGCTAGTGGAGATCCAGCCAGTGGATGATGCGTCAAGTGACGACGCGGCTTTCGTCTTTGATCGGTTTTGGTTGTGCCGATACCCACGGCCTGTGCGGGTCATCTACGACCAAGGCACCGAGTTCAAGAAAGAGTTCTTCGAGCTACTAGAGAGCTATGGCATCCATGCGCTACCCACTACGACTCGAAACCCTCAGTCGAACGGCGTGATTGAACGGCTGCACCGTGGCATTGGAGACAAGCTTCGAACGCAAACGATCGACACCAAGGAGGAGTGGGCGGCATTCTTACACGACGCCACCTTTGCCCTTCGCGCAACGTACAACTCAATGCTCAAGTCGTCTCCGGCCCAGGCCAGTTTCGGGCGAGACATGCTTTTCGACGTGAAGCATACGACGAACTGGGATGAACAGTACCAGCGCAAGGTTGCTCAAGTCGCCAAGAGCAACAAGCGCGAAAACGACAAGCGACGCGAGTGGATCTACGCCCCAGGAGACAAGGTGCTACTGCGAAACGATGCGGGACCTCAAGCCAAGATGTCACCGCTCTTCAGTGGCCCTTACGAAGCTGTAGCAGTGCGAACGAATGGTACGTTGGTCCTTGACAAGGGCAAGTACATGGAGACCGTTCACATACGACGCATTGTGCCCTTCAAGTCCCAACGTGGGGAAGACTGTCAGCAGAGCGACCTGTGACGCGCGCATCTGTGACGCGCGCCAAAGTGGAACGACTTCAACCACTGCATGGTTGGCTAGCAAGAGCTAGTGAACGCTCTTTAGTCAAGTCACAAGCTTTAAGGAGCTTGCGCAGCAGATAGC